CCAGCCCCAAACCTCCCCAAGTTATACATAGTCTACTTTTTTTTTTTTTTTGGTTTTTCGAGACAGGGTTTCTCTGTAGCTTTGGAGCCTGTCCTGGAACTAGCTCTGTAGACCAGGCTGGTCTCGAACTCACAGAGCTCCGCCTGCCTCTGCCTCCCGAGTGCTGGGATTAAAGGCGTGTGCCACCATCGCCCGGCAAGTCTACTGCTCTTAAATTACAACCTGCACTTACTGTATTAATACTAAACTCTCTAGGAGATAGGTAAAATATTTGGTGTTAAGCATTGTGCATCTAAACACAGAAATAAAATGCTATGCTAAAATATGGTACAGAAGGTGTATATATCATGGTGCATTTATATCTGGCAATGACAATCAAAGAACATGCAGGACTGAAACCTGTTCTAGTAAGCAGTGCACAGTAGTAAATGTGAAGGGACAGATCATAGGGGTCACTCCTGTCACATTTATAAACACTGTACACTTGGGTCACGCCAACTATAAACCACGCCACCACCACACCCAGGGAATTTTGATGCTTGTCTATGGTCTAAGAATTTGAGAGATAAAAGGTGGAGGACTGAAGAGTTTCAGGAAAGCTGTACTAACATAACTAGACTTTCTCTCCAAATGAACACACACATGCCAAAAGGGAGGGAGGGAGGGAGGGAAAACAAAACAAACCCTACTAATAACAAAACAATACTTGTACAGAAGTTGGTACTAGGTACAGTTATTGCTGTGATAGGCCTGCCTATGATTTTGTTTGGAGGTACATGGACTTTGGATTATAAAAGCAGCTAAATGCTTTACGCAAGTCTTAAAGGGCTCTCCTAGTAAGAACAGGGAAAAGAGTGGGGTGAGGGTGATCTGAACTGTGGGGGCCTGTTTTAGAGAAGAAACTGACTATTCTTATATTTTGCTGACAAATGTTGCTGGTTTCTGTCCTTGTCCAAAAACTCTGCCTGAGGCTAAAGCAAATTTCAAAACAGCCTAGTATAGACATTGTCAAATGGTTTATTAGTGGTAACTCTTAGGCAGATCCATAATGAAGCAAATTGACCAAGTAAAAAATGTAAAATGTACAGGTTGAGAAGAAGAGAGGCACCAGGAAGTGGAAGGGAACTAAACTGTGTTCAAGGAGATAAACAAATTAAAAAGTGAAACAGAGGGAATGGTGACCTCAGGATGGGACTGCACCACCCTGCTAAGATTTCAGGAATTAAAGAACAACTTTGGTCCAGGTGAGGTGGTGCCCACCTTTAAATCCAGTACTCAGAAGGCAGAGAGGTGGGCAGATCTCTGAGTTTGAGGCCAGTGTGGTCTACAGACCTGAATTTCAGGATAGCCAAGCTTACGCAATAAAGGAAGCAGGAAGTTGGTAAAGATATAACTCAATGAAGGAGCCATGTTCCAGCTCCACTAAGCCGCAGAATTTGGCAGCTTCAGCAACATGGTTTTGGCTTTAGAATCAAGGTTAGAAGAGAGGGGTTATAGAATCTTCCTCCTAGACTAAGGAAAGCCGCTGAGACCAGATATGTGTCAGGGGTGTTGTTATAATTTTGTTGACCCTCCCTGTCAGTATCCTGTCCCTTTAAGAGACAAGCTCCACCCACTCCCAATATCAGTTCTCTGCCTCCCTCCTCCCCCTCCTTCTCTCCTTTCTCTTGCTCTCTCTTCATCCCCTCACTGCCTCCCCCTACACTCCCCTTTAATAAAACTTTACATTCAGTCTCTGTCAGCATGACATACTCTGTTTTCTATCCGCCTGGTTCCCCACCCACAGGGACCTGCTAGGGTCACTCCTGACAAAATATTTCATTGGTGTCTTGAACTTGGCAGGCTCCCCCTTTCAGCTGAGGGCTCCCGGGAATTCTCTAATGTTTAACCCTTTCATAAGGTCACTTTTCCAACTCAAAATCATTCTACACCCAACATTGACACTAACCACTTCTGACCATGCCTCCATGATTTGTCTTGGAGGTGGTTCCCCCACATGAAAAGACCCAGTACTGGTCAACCACTTGTCTATCAGACTTACAGCCCCCTTGCTCTAGCCTTCAACTCCATGTGACAATGCAGGGGTTCAGTTTGTGTCCACCCATTCTCATGGCCCAGGACCTTGTAAGTGATGACTCAAGGCCAGTCTGAGCCATGGTCCATACTGAACTTTTGGGATACAGGAGTTCAGTTTCTTGGACTTTCTTCTTTCCTTACTCATGGAAACTGTACCTCCCCCCTCACATATCAAGCTACATAGCTGCCCATCGTCAGCTTACATTCTGCCAATGATTGGTAGTTGTAAGTTTTATAAGAAAAAGAAAGATGGTAATGTTATAATTTTGCAGGCCTTCCCTGTCAGTACCCTGTCCCTTTAAGAGACAAGTTCCACCCACACCCAATCTCCCCCTTCCTGCTGAGGCCAGCTGGCTCTCTTCCTCCCTCCCTCCTCCCAGTTCTTCTTCTAAAGAAGCTCTTTGATTCCCTCTTCCCCTCTCCTCTCCCTCCTTTTCTCTCTCTCCCTCCCTCCCTCCTCCCCTACACTCCCCTTTAATAAAACTTGACACTCACACTCCATTCACATGGCATATTCTGTTTTTTACCCACCAGGCACTGTAGGACCTGCTAAGGTCACTGTGTGAAACTCTGAAGGCAAGGCTTGCTTTAGTCCAGTATTTCTAAACTATACTTCTTTCCCTCAATTTTGGGATTGTAATGTGTATCCTTTGCTATTATATATTGGAAGTATGTGATCTGCTTTTTGATTTTGATTTCACAGGGGATTAAAATAAAGAGATTGTATAAATCTCAGAAGCAACTTTGAACTTTGGAGTGTGTATTAAGGTATAGCTACAAGCCTAATGGGGCCAGGGAGTGAAATGTGGTGGTTTGAATAGGAATGGCCCCCACAGACTCTTGGGTTTGAATGTTTGGACCATAGGCATTTACTTAGTACTATTAGGTGTGGCCTTTTGGGGATAAGTATGTCACTTTGGAGACAGGCTTTCTTTCAAGTGTCATATATGCTCAAGGAACACCCAATTTGGCAGTCTCATTCTCCAGCACCATGCTTCCTGCCTTGACTATAATGAACCAAAACCCCTGAATGTTTTTCATAAATAATCTTCTTTTTCTTCTTTTTAAATAATTCACTTCTTCTAGCTTAAAATCTAAGCCGTATACTTTTTTTTTTTTTTTTTTTTTTTTTTTTTTTTTTTTTTTTTTTTTTTTTTTNNNNTTTTTTTGGTTTTTCGAGATAGGGTTTCTCTGTGGCTTTGGAGCCTGTCCTGGAACTAGCTCTGTAGACTAGGCTGGTCTCGAACTCACCGAGATCCACCTGCCTCTGCCTCCCAAGTGCTGGGATTAAAGGCGTGCGCCACCATCGCCCGGCTAAGCCGTATACTTCAGTTTAGGTCTATACATTAATCTTAATAGTCTCTTTCTTCATGACTGGTCCTCCTAAAAAGCCTTCTGGGGTGACAACATATACAAAATTGTTTTCAGTAACACCAATACCATTTAGACTCCTTAAAGACAGGTGTGAGACTCACAGGACTTGTCAGACATTTCAGAAGTATGAACATGAGGCGTGTAAATGCGTAACATGTGTCTTTGTTCATCACAGAGTTGCCTGCACACAGAGGGCTCACGGCGAATATCCTGTCCTATGAAGGAAACTCTTCTGATAATGGTAACCAGGTTTCCAACTTTTTAAGGACATTGTTAGGACTGTAAAGAGTTCTGCTGTTCACTAAAAAGTTTCAAGTTCTTTCTTGGCTCTCCAAATTCCTGTTTTTTGTTGCCCCCTTTTCAGCTATACTTATAGATAACATCAATTTTTTGAGCTCTGGGATAAACTGAGATTATTGCCACACACACAACTTGTCACCAACAAACACATACTCATGTGATGTGTTACAGCGCATGAACTTTGGTATAACTTTCCTAATTCTACATGGTGAGAAGGCTCATACAAATTACATAGTTCTATTATTATCAAACCTGGAGGCTGAGTCACAAATTTTAAAAGGACACCAAGAGTGTATCAAATGAAACTGCACCTGGAAGTCAAATACTTTAAATTATGTGTCATTTCAGAATTTTTTGTGTTGAAAATAAAATTAGGGCCGGGAGGTGGTGGCGCACGCCTTTAATTCCAGCACTAGGGAGACAGAGGCAGGCAGATCTCTGGGAGTTCGAGGCCAGCCTGGTCTAGAAGAGCTAGTTCTGGGATGGGTACCAAAGCTACAGAAAAACCCTGTCTCGAAAACAAAACAAAACAAAACAAAACAAAAGAAAATTAGGGGCTATCACTCAGTGGAAGAATTCATTTTTCCTTGTACAAGGCCGAGGGATCAATTCACAGAACCTAAACACAACCTACATACAACAACAACAACAAAATTTCTCCTTCTTTCTAATCAAGCATTAAAAGACTTTTAAAAAAAATGGCACAACTGTTAAGACATAAAACAATAAAAATAATTCTTTCTACATATAATTCATTGAAATCTTTAAAATGTATAAAGTGAAAAATTTGATGATCTGATTTTTATAACCTAGCAGTGTAACTCTCTTGTAAATAAATTGATTAAATATTACTATATATATGTAGAGTTAATTCTACCCTGAAATAGTATTTAATTACGAATACATGAGCTAAGCCCTTTTTTTGATCGTTAAGAATGAGACACAGATGATATTCTGGAGGAACTTCTAGTCTTAAAAAAGGTAACTGAAGTATGCACATGTGTCCTGGGTATATGAGATTCATCAAGACACTGCTTTACTGGTGATATTTTAATTAATGCCTAAAACACCCATTTTCTCTGATGATAAAATGCCAGAACAAAACAACAACAAAAAACAGAAAAGAAAAAGAAAACACCTACCATTTATCTAGCTATACCTTAAATCTAAATCAAAGACAATAAAACAACCAATGCTAAGTATTCATAAACATTATGAAATACTATGGTTAAAATTACATGAAAACTTACCCCATCTGAAAGTGCCCGCCAACACACAGCACTAACAAATTCATTTGTATCATCTTCTTTACGGTCTTTGTCCAGAACACTCTTGACTGTATCAAACTTAAAAGTCAGCAAAGTCTTAGAAAGTCCTTTATAGTACAGGTAGAGGGAATTGTTTTCACTTCCTGAAAAGAAATAGTAAGTGCAATCATTTTAGAATGGGAGAACCTGGAATTAGAATACATACATACTCACTTGAGCCACTCTTGCTATGTTGCCCAGATCATCCTTAAATTTAAACTGTCTTCCTCTGCTTCTCAAATGCTGGGAGTCATAGGTGTATGATACTACTCTTAGCTAAGAATACCATCCTTTCTATAATCCCTACACTCTGTCCTAGAGACTGAATATAAGGCCTTTGGCTACAGTGAACTACATCTCTAGACCCAGTTCCAGAACACAACATTTAGATAGTAATTATTAATCCAAGTTTTAGCAAAGAGACCAATTATCTTTTATATTCAAATCTGAAAGACAAGACTAATTAATTGGGAACTATGGGAGAAGGAACAAAACTATAGCTTACTAACCTAAAGAAATAACCATTGCTAAATGATGTGACTGCGCTTATAATTCTAAGTTTGAAATGTTTCATATTAAAAAGAAAAATACCTATAGCAGAGGTCTATACATTTAAAAAGCATCTAGGAAACAAGAATCTTAAACTACATTTAAAAATATTACAATGTACAGAGGAAAAAAATTGTGGTACTTGTAAAGGCCAATTTGAACAGCCTAAACATTACCAATGAGAAAGTTGAACTAACACATTTCAGGAGCCTCCTAAGGATAAACGTGCTGCCTATCTGCTTTGGTGGTGATCAAGCTCATACATTAGGAAAAAATACAATTGACTGAATAAGGGCCATGTCATTTAAAAGTGTTGACAATTCTTTTATTAGAATATTTGAAAACATAAAATTGAATTTTTCTACTTCTGATTTAAATTTGCATAAATTATATATTAATAAAAAATACAGAATAACATATTCATGCAATCCAAACTGTTTAATGAAAAGGATACTAGACAGGACAAAATGAAAATAATGTTTCTGAAAAGATGTCTTCTTGAAATACTAGTAGCAGAATTTAATAGTTTTTATAGTTTAGATAATTCCAACAAAAATTATGGCATGTTTAGAAATACTAGAAAGCAGTTAAAGATCTTTTTCATTACTAAGAATACAGGGGTTGGGTGCAGAAAAGAAACACATGCTCTCCAGCATGACTGGAGGAAAGAATTCAGTCCTAAGCATTAAGTGATGCTGTCTTCTGAGAACACAGATCATTTTTCCACTGAAAACTACCATGACATGTCTTTGCAAAAAGTTTCTTTAAAAATATAATTTCACTTACCACAAGCTATATAATCTCCATTGGAAGCAAGTCCTACAAAGTTTTTTTCATTAATATGACCCTTGAAGGAACGCAGACAGTATGGTTTCCCCACATTCCACAGTTTTAGTTGGCTGTCTGTTGAGCTGAGATAAACACAAAGAAGACTAAATTTTAGATTTCATGGTATGAAACTCATCACCATTAGTAATTAAAAAGCAATCCAGTTTTGTGGTTAAGAATGCAAACTTTGGTGCCGGTGTGTCTGAGACTTATGTTCTCATTGGCCAATGTTTTAACAGGTAAATATGATATATAATTATCTACTTTATAGAATTAAATGGGCCTGGACCCAACACTGTGAAAACCAAATTCATCTAACATGCTTTTAATAATGCCTGGGTAAATAGGAAATAGCATTGTCACACTATCAATATATAATGAGTCTTTGCACTCAGAGATGTGCTCCATTTTGGGAAGACCTTCATTTTTCTTGTTACTGGTATACTAGGACAAACTTTTCATGCAATTCCTACATGTGAGAGATACGGTTGGAAAGCACACAATGCAGTTTATTTTGCTGACAGAATATATAGATCTCATTGCTTACCCAAAACTCTTTTTGTTTTTTCTAAAACCCACTGGTAATTCTAATAGACAGATTTAGGCCTCATACTATTTTGCAAACTACTTTCTTATATTGAATTGCTTGCTTTATACTTTTTGTATACTTTTTTAAGGGATTGTATCAATATTTATCAAGGACTACATAATTAAATCATTTTGAGCAGGACACTATGGTACACCTTTTCCATAGATTATTTTATTTAAAGATTTAAAAACTTAGTGCTGCTATTAGCCCCATTTTGAAGATGAGGAAATTGAGGTTCAGAAGGTTACAACTGTATATAGACAAGATTCAAACCATTTGATTTGAGCTCCTTTAGAAATCCCAGCACTTGGGAGGCAGAGGCAGGGAGATCTCTGTCAGTTCGAGGCCAGCCTGGGCTATAAGAGCTAGTTCCAGGACAAGCTCCAAAACTGCTATAGAGTAACCCTGTCTCAAAAAAAAAAAAAAAAAACAACCCACACACAAAGAAATGTGCTTTAATCTATTTTATTCCACAGTGTTGCAATGACTTTTCATTTAAAACTTCATTAAAGTCATTTACTGCCTATAATAGTTATTCTAAAGATAGAATTCTCTTTAGCTACCACTTAATTTAAGTTTGTGAATTCATTACCCAAATAACTCCCTTGGAAAGCTCAGTTTTGAGTATTTTTTGTCCTCTTTTGTAACTGAACTGAAATCATTTTTCCAACATCACTAAATTCTTATTTACAGCAATCAATGTGAAGATGAAGGTGAGATGCAAAATTCAAGGCCCTGGTGTAAACAAGCTTCTAAGAGAGATAAGGAACTAACTTAAAAAGAAGAAAGCAGGAAACCAGTAAGTTTGTGTGTGTGTGCAGAAATTAAGAATGAATATTTACTAGATAATAAGAAAACTATGAAAATGATAAACAAAACATGGAACTACCCATGTTATTAGAAAAGTTCTGTAGTTTCCCATTGGAGATTACTTTGTATCACTGATATTTTCTTACCTTCAAAAATAGCAACTAAGATTTTATAAAAGGACATTTGCTGAGTATAAAGAGACACACTTAAAAAGTTATCTTTAAAACATATTTTACTGTGAAACTGATGGAGGTTATTATAAAATCAACAAAATATTTAAAACCAAAAAACATTCTACTACTATGTTGAAAGCAGACCTATAAGTAACACATACTGATTGACTTTAATCTAATAAATTATTTTTCTTTATATTGCATCAACCATGTTGGTTACGTCTTCAGGAGAAGCAGTAGCAGATCAAATTTGAAGTTCAACTGTTAATTAAATTACAAATATCACTTAAGAGGGCTTATCAGAAAGTAACACAGCTTTTTATTTATAAGTAACATAAAATAAACAATGAAGGTAAGATACATGTATTTTAATTAAAGACATGTAAATCTGTCACTTGAAAAAGAAAATACAATCCAAGGTCACTCTTTGCATATACCCAAAACATCAATGCTGAGACCTCTGTACCAAACTCACCCTCCCTCCAAGGGGAGTAATACTCACGCAGAGACAATTTCTTCACCACTAACAAACTTGGCATAAGAGACTGCTTTTCTGTGTCCCTTGAATACCATTATTGGTTGTTTAGTGTTACGAAGATCATAGTAGTGAACACAGTGATCTAAAAGAAAATAGAGATAAATGTAGTAAATGAAGAAAAGGAAGGAAAACTGAAATGGATTTGGTGTTTACATCTGAGTAAAGTGGTGGCTGAGTAAGAGTGATCATCTTCACATAGAAACATAATTTTGAAGCCTTGTTTAAAAACTACCCTCGCAAAAGTTAGAATGGAGTCCAGGAGAGAGATCTCAGTATCTTGTTTAAGCCTAACAGAAGCAAGCAGGCTATAAAATACAAAAGACAACAACAAAAAGAAAAGAGTTGCCCACAAACCTCTCCTTAATTCCAAATAACACAGCATACAAATAAGCCATTAGGTAAGGGAAGAAGAAACTAGCTTTTTAGACCTAAAACTTAGAGCCTAGTAACAGAACATGAAGATGCAATCCAGTATCTGACAGTGCCTAAGGTCGATTACCAAGCCAGTGCTCATGCACCAAAACTTTGGGTGAAGCTGACCTGGTGTCAACAAGCTGCCCCTACCTCTTCCCTGAGTCCATCATTGCTCCATTCCCTGGGGCTAAGGAAAAACCATACAACATTGCCAGGCCACTGAAACCCAGCAAGCTTTTGGTCTTCAAGAAAACAGCATCTGATCTCACTGTGATGTTAGGCAGGAAGGGATCTGTAGCCACAGTAAAAGCAATCTGTATTTTGACCAGCATCTCCTGTGGCTGACTTAGCTCCCTAAGGTTCCAAATATACCAGAGCAGCAGACAGGCACAACACCACGGTCCTATGTTCAGTCCGTGCTATTCTGGTCTTAGGTGTGGGCTCTATAAGGATGACTCTATACTGAGGTGTCATCCTGAACCCAATACCCAACAGAACAAGGACAGAGCCAGTATTACTTGGGATTAAAGGAAGTAGTTGCCAATTTACTGCGTAAGATCACTGGGTCTAGTTTGTAGTCTAATGAACACTTTGGCATATTAAGTATCACTGTTCATTAATCTAGAATACATTTCCATTATTTAGGGCTTATTAGTGTTGCTGTGATAATAAACCCTGACCAAAAAGCAGAGTTTCAATGGTGTAAATTCATAGGCAGATTTTCTTGGGCTATTTAGCCCCCTTAATAGTGAATCCCTGCTCACTTGTGTCTGACTCAACAAACCTGAACTACCAAGTAAAATACCCTGGGATGTATTATCTTAACAAACCACTAGATTGCACCAATCCTAAAGGCTAAAATGTCAACAAATAGCATCTGAATCCAATACCAGGTATTTTCCTATCTGTCTGTAACTCTCCTGGCCTGATGTTTTCACCAATGTAGCTAAAAATGCCTTAATTTATGCTTTCTGTTGTTCTATGTTTACAAAAACAACACAATTCTGAAATCATATTGGAACACGGTATTTGGGACAAAATCAATCAGTGTGCCAGGACCACGGTAACACCTATTGGGCTTCAGATACACACTCTCTTTTTCCTTTCAGTGTTTTGTTATTACGTTTACAAAAAGTATTTTGAACAAATACCTAATTCTGGGATTATACACTTTTTCTAACTTTTAAGTACTTTTTGTGATAACTCTGTTGATCTCTTGGTCTCATGTACTTGTTGATGCTAAGTCAGCTGTTAACTTTTACCTTATTCTGAACATATTTTTGCCATCAAAGTCATTGCTTTCAATAGTAAGCATTATACCAAACTATAAATGAATGATGCTGACCACATGTTAAATGATCCTTTTTTCTTATTTTCTATTCTGAGCCTATTCAACATTATGAAAATAGTTAAAGGAGAGAAACAATAGTAGAGAAGTACAGGATATGGATATGGTTGCAATACTAAGAAGAAAATCAGGTTTCATTGGATGAATTCTATCAATTATGTTCAAGCCATGGCGAATTTATTCAAGAAAGACAAATAATTCTGAATGAAAAAAAAACATAACTCAAGATGTCAATAGATTAAACCAATATCTGGTGAACTTATTCTGAAAGACTGAATAAAATATTGGACATGTATTGAAACAAAAAGCAGTAAAATTAAAGAATTTGATTTCAAAAGACTTTTATAAAACTAGATGTTTTAAATAAGAAAACAACAAAAGCCCACTTAACTAAACAAAGTGGACTGAAATATAGCTACTAGAAAACACAGCACTGTCCTTGGTTTTGTACTGCGGTGGAGACTGCAATGAATCACTGCAAAAGAAGTAAACCTAACATTTTTGGTTAATGTAAACTCAACAACTATAAAAAAGCTACTCTATTAAGAAACAAAAATAAATATAATGTCTACAGGCAAGGCGAATATCAACAGTTTCTGTCCATATTTTTAAAAAGTACCACAATAGAGAACGGAATTACTATTTCACATAAAATCACAACGAAGTTATATATAGAAAAGAATGCTGACTGGAAAAATCCCTACAGAAAAGCAGAAAAATCCCAGACCCCACAAGAAACAAACTGTAAACTTTCACTTACAAAATCAATCCAAACAAAAATAAAAACATCGCATGGAATTGTATGGGAAAACACACAACAGTAAAGCGCCTAAAACTACTAAATATTTGTAATTATAATTATTCATTATTTTATAATATAATTTTGCTGATCTGGAAAATATGAACATTAAAGCTTACTTTTTCATAAAGAAACAAGAAAAATGGATAAAAAAAAACAATGAGGGTTTATACCAGAAAAAAATCCTGGGAGATGTGTACAGGTGTACACAGTAAGCATCAAAATGAGAATCTACTGTAATAGCCAATGGTTAGAGACAACTTGCGAGACAAGTTAGTCAACTTGCTCAAGATTACATTTCTTGCTAATGGAAAAAAGAGTAAACAAACAGGGAAGTAAGAGATTTACAGAAACAAGTAGCACTAGTAACGACAAGGTTTAAAATATGTTCTCTTTAGGTTGTTACTGTTCTCATTACATGGTTGTCAGCTTATCTTTTTTAAAAAAAACAGCCATAATATTAGAAAAAATAACAAGGAACTTTCACATTTTAAATTGTAAGTATTTACTTTTTATTTCAGTAAGATTTCAAGAGAGAAAATAAATTGAGTAGGGTGAGCATATGACTTATTCTGCAACTCATGGCCCTCTCAAAATGAAAACTGCTACTACTAGTAACGTGAAGGGACCAGTGTAAAATAAGAGTGCAAAATACTTAAGGTGATTTGTTAGAACACCTATCTTAAATAAAATAGACTACACATCAGCATGTCTCCATGCTAAACAACTGGCAAGTTCATTCCCCTTAGGTGAGTGCATTATGCATAGCAAGAACTGAATAAATAAAGTCAGAGGAATTAATAGGCTTCTTAAAAAATCCTGATCCTCTATAGTACAGCTGTTTAATAACCACTACTCTGTTAGTCTCTAAGAAAAATGCACACAAACATTTAGCAGACAGCCAACAAAAATTAACATGCCCATCTCTATTATTAAAGATATCTGACAGAATAACACAACTAGGTATAACAATAAGTGAGTAATAACAATGTACTTCTCACTAAAACCTAACAACAAAAAGAAAATTTAAGATTACAAAAGTATAATTTATTTTTAATTGCACTTGCAGGCACGGGAATAAAAAGTGAAAGAGTATAAATCTACTTTTATTTTTTACCTGCACAGCCAAAAGCCAAATGGTATCTGGAGGAGGGGCTGAATTTCACACAGCAGACGTTAGCCTTTGCCTCAATGCTTGCCACGGAATTGTCTAAATTGGTAGACCACAGCTTCACTAAGGTAATGAAGATAAAAATAAAAAGAACAATACACTGAGAAAATGTTTCTGCAACTGGACAAGTGCTACCAATGTACCTTTTGTGTCAATATAAAACATTTTATTAGGACAAAATATTAAGATGAATAATCATGTAATACAACAATACTTGAATCTGAGAGCAAGCTTTCAATGCTAAAACTCAACAGATATGAGCAGTGATTTTACAAGATATATGGGACCCATAAGACAAAGGTACAAAACAAGCATTCTGGAGCTAGATGGTGGGTCCATTATACATAAATTAATATCAATATTCTATAGTGAAGATAAAACACATTTAAATAAAAACCATAATTTTCACATGTATGAGATTGTTAAAATAAAAATGTCTCTTAAAACACTTCAAAACTTCCAGCGAAGGTAGAACTGGGCTGCTCTTAACCTCTGTCAAAGAAGCAACTTCTTTACATTGGAAAGCAGTTAATGGAGAGGTGTGTAACTTGTCAGACACCGAGAAGAGACTCAGTGCTCTCAGCACTAAGTGGGACATTTATATTCCTGCCCCACCCTGTCAGACACTGAAAAGAAGAAACTCAGTGTGCTCAGCTCTAGTGGGATATTTATATTCCTAGCCCTTCCCAGCAGCCCCAACATAAACACTATGACCAAGGCTTGGGGAGCACCTTGGAGGAGGAAAGAATGTAAGGACTGAAATATGGGAAGAGTGCTGTCAAATGCTGACTTCTGGATAGCACAGCAATGTGGTTACATACCTAAAACCTGTAGCATTGTAAACTACCCCCAATTCTGACACAAATGTCATAGATGACTCTAGGACTCAGCCCAAACCAAGGAGCAACAGGAAGTGGATACTTGTGGGTCTCCCATGCTCCACTGTGTGGCTTCATAACCAAGAACACACTTGCAACTAGACTTAATAGGTTATCAAAAAGCAGGAATGTGGTGATGCGGTTTGCCACAGTGCTTGGGAGGCAGAGGCAGGCAGATCTCTGTAAGTTCAAGTCCAGCCTATTATCATAGTTCCAGGCCAGTCAGGGGCTAAAGTGAGAACTCCCCCTCCCCGTCTCTCCACACACACACACACACACACACCAGAAAAACAAACAAAAATTATGTAAATTTTAGTTTTCTATGGTTTATGTAAACATAAATAACAGGATATGAAAATCCATGGCTATATTTTAAAGTTCTTTATATGATAGTCTATTCTAGTGGAATATACTAGAATTTATGATTAATTAAGAATCAAATTAGAGCAGATCTGATCTGAAGCAGAAAAGTAAGCTGTTATTTTACAAAAGTACCAGAGCAAATTTTAAACAATGAAAACATATGAGAGAATTTTAAGGCACAAGTTGCCATCCCCGCTGAACAAAAGAATAAAAGCATTAAAAGTACGGGGAAAGGTCTACCAGTCCACTTTATCCATCTTTTGATCTATTTCAATATCTGACTCAGGAATATTTCTTAGACGGTGCCAGGTAATTGCAATTTAAATAAACATTTTTTTTTTAAACAAAACACCCCAAGTGATTCAAACATATTTTTCGGGTTGGAAGCACAGAAAACTTCAGGGCCTTTAAAGATTACTGACAAAGTTACCTCTAAAAATGAGTAACTAAAGAGTCACAATAAAGAGGACTTCAATGAAGATGGCTTTCATAATTTACACATGAAGTCTCAGTAAAAACTACCTATTACCCAAATAAGTAAGCTTTAAAAGAGACACTCACCAGAGTAAGGATTTTAAACACAATTGTTTATTTTGTGTTCTCTACTAATAAGAAGATTCTACTTCAGTAAACATAGATTCACTTGGTTAACACATATAAACTTTTTTTTAAATATTTTATTTATTTATTTATTTATTATGTATACAATCTTCTGTCTGTGTGTATGCCTGCAGGCCAGAAGAGGGCACCAGACCTCTTTACAGATGGTTGTGAGCCACCATGTGGTTGCTGGGAATTGAACTCGGGACCTTTGGAAGAGCAGGCAATGCTCTTAACCACTGAGCCATCTCTCCAGCACCACATATAAACTTTTTATGGTTATTAGTCACTAGTACCTTGCTTTCCATTTCAGATAATTTTCTATCACCGTATAATCACACTACTAATTTCTGTATACTCATTTTGTGGAGATGGATTGTTTGAGTCAACAGAAGTTTTTTTTTTTTTTTAATTGGCAAGCCAGGGAGTGATGGCACAGGCCTTTAACCCCAGCACTAGGGAAGCAGAGGTAGGTGAATCTAGTGAGTTCAAGGCCAGCCTGGCCAATGGAGGGAGTTCCAGGCTACAGAGAGAAACATTTTCTCAAAAAAAGGGGTGGGTGTGGGGTTAGAAAAATCAATGTAAAGCTATTTCTCAAGAGAACACATACAAATGGGAAGCAAATACACAAAAACATGCTCAACATAACTAAACAGAGGAATTCAAAGAGAAACCACAAATAGAAAACAAAACTCGTGGTTACTCCAGTAAGAATGATAATATGAAAATGACAAAAGGTACAAAAGTTGTCTGGGCTGTGGAGAAAGGGACCACCATGATCCAGTAACCCCAACACTAGGCATATATCCCACAAAAGTAAAATGTGTTTACTGAAACACCCACACTCACATATTACACTATTTATAATGGCCAAGTTATACAAATAAGCTATTTGTTCATAGGACACTCAAGCCTGTCCACTTGGCAAAGATGCAGACGGATGCATCTTCCAACCCTCATCAGAAAAGCTTTTATTGGCTACAGATGATGATTACCACAAACAAACACAACTCGGCAAGGTGCAGAGAACAAGTGCCCTCAGAATACTCAGTCCCAAATGGAAAATTTATACTGCACCCTCTCCTTAAAAGGGTCAAGAAAGAGGGGGCAGAAAGACAATAAGACCCAGAAATGTGAATGAATACAAGAAAATAGTGTCCTCCAGACACAGCCAGGAAGCTGCACTATGAATTCACAGCAGTTAAGACTACAAACAATCCCTGTGCAATCCCACTATGGAGAAGAGAGGTAGACATGATGTCCCACCTTAGGGCTAGTGGCAATGGATAGCTGCTGGGAGAGACTCGTCTTCTTTGAGTATTACCACTGGTAGGTAAACTAAGCCCCAGTGGAAGATCATATATTCATGAATATACAGACAGAACAAGATGAGATTTGTGGAAAAAAAAGAGGACACAAAGTTGGCAGGAAGAAGAGGAGGTGGGGGTAAATGTAACTAAAACTCAGCATATGAAATTCTTAAAAAAAAAACTAACTAAAAATTAATTTAAAGACAAGATACAAAGCAATAAACTCAAACAAAAACATATTTATTTACATATGCTCTCCTTTGGTTCTAATAAAAATATAAAAATGACTGATGAAAAAGCCATATAGCAATGAAGGACGAGAAAAACAAACTCATTATCTAGTTGGCACTAGGAAATAAGTCTGATATGTAACATTAAGTGTTCTATACAAGTTTTATTACCTCAATGTTACTAGGTAAAGGAATGGTTTTTCCTTTAGTACCATCTGATTCCTCAGCTCAATAAAAATTAATAAATTTTCAAAAATTCAATTACCCTATAGAGCAAAGTTTATTATCTAGTAATCTGCAATATTTGAGCTAATCAATTCCCTAAATTTATTTTTCAAAATGCTATTTTTAAAAAAACAGAATATACATTGTATTTATATAAAACAGAAAAAAATACTCACAAATAAAATTGACAATGCTGTTTACCAGAACTACACAAAACCCAAGGTCTCATATGAAATACAGGATATATTCTGAAAATAACCCAGGGACTCTGTGACCATTGTTTTTACAAAACTTTACTAATACAGGCTCATGTTCTTGATTTATATATTCAACAGTTAGTTTTGTACTACAGCAATAGAGGGAAGTGTGTATAGCTGGCACTTCATGGTCCTCCTAGTTAACAATATTCATTATGTGGACCTTCATAGAGGAGAAAAGTTAAATCAATGACAAAGTATTGTCAAGCTAAGGGGAACATAGATGAGGGTCACAAAGGTCCCATGTAATTCACAGGCATGTTTTGTTTCCTTGAGTGATACCTGTTTATAGAGCAAAAGAAAAGAAATTTACTTTGTTTTATTTCACATTTTAATTTGATTTTTTTTTTTTTTTGAGACAGGACCTGTCTTTTTATTTGTTTCAGACAAACTATTTCACTACATGGCCCAGGACTTCTTCTTTCTGAACACTTCTGCTGCAAATACAATCTTTTTTTTAAATTTATTTATTTATTATGTATACAGCATTCCTTCCATGTATGTCTGCAGGCCAGAAGACCCCATTACAGATGGTTGTGAGCCACCATATGGTTGCTAGGGATTGAACTCAGGACCTTTGGAAGAACAGTCAGTGCTCTTAACCTCTGAGCCATCTCTACAGCCCAAGAAATTTACTTTGAAGAATAAAAAGAATCTAGGAATGATTTTAGAAAAATGGAGGTAGACAAGTGAGTTAGTAAACTACAAAATAAAATAAGAATTAGCTGAAGAATAAAAATACTGACAAGAAAGAAAATAGTATATTTAAGGCTCATAAAAGAAAACAAAAAGGTAAAGTATTAATACAAATAGTTATAAAGAAGAGATTTCCGATTCGTGAATATTCAATGGTGTAGTTCTCAGAAGACTACTAAGAGACTTAAAGAATGGTACTATGTATTAGTAAAGGGGCAATTTACCAACATGTACCAACCTTCAATTGGTTTATGCCCTTACGATAACAGCTTCAAAATACATGAAGGCATACATCTCTACTTTATGTGTCAGGCAGAACTGAACTCAGGTTTTTCTTTTTTGTTTTAAGGTTTATTATGTGTAGGTATGTACGTGGGCCTGGGTAACTAAAAGTACACCAAATGCATGCAGGAACCTGTGGAGACCAGAAGGAGTCATATCCCCTAGAACTGAAATAGAAGTTGGTTCTGAATTGTCATATGGGTGCTGAGAACTGATGTAAAATGTCCTTCTGTATTACTGTGTTACTTTTATTGGCTAGTGAATAAAGCTGTTTGGCCAATGGCTTAGTAGAGTAAAGCGAGACAGGAAATCTGAATAGAGATATAGAGAGAAAGCAGGTTGAGTCAAGAAAACACCACGTAGCTACCAAAGGAAAAAGACAACAGAACCTTACCAATAGGCAACAACCTCATGGTACTACATAGATTAATAGAAACTAGCTAGGAATATGTCTGAATCATTGGCCAAACGGTGTTGAAATTAATACAGTTTTCCTGTGATTATTTGGGTCTGGGCACCGGGAAATGAATGAGCAGTCTCCACTTACAGATAACCAAATACAGCCCTCTGTAAGACAAGGAAGTACTTTTAATTGTTAAGTTATCTCTTTTAATGCTGTCTCTAAATATAGCTTGTGTGAGGTTTTTATTTTTAAATAATCAATCAGAGCCATTAAACCCCACATACTCTTGATTTCCCCAGCTTTTGCTCTAACATTTACAGAAATTAAGGGGAAAAAAAAAGTGTACCTCAAGATTGTTTTGTAGTTTCTTACAGAAAAAAGTCACTGGCATGCTACCTTCCTGGTCAACTATTTTTTTTGTTTGTTTGTTTTTATTTATTTATTAAAGATTTTTGTCTCTTCCCCACCACCGCCTCCCCTTTCCCTCCCCCTCCCCCAATCAAGTCCCCCTCACTCATCAGCCCAAAGAGCAATCAGGGTTCACTGCCCTGTGGGAAGTCCAAGGACCACCCACCTCCATCCAGGTCTAGTAAGGTGAGCATCCAAACTGCCTAGGCTCCCACAAAGCCAAAACATGCAGTAGGATCAAAAACCCATTGCCATTGTTCTTGAGGTCTCAGTAGTCCTCCTTGTCCGCTATGTTCAGTGAGCCTGGTCAACTATTGCAGGTTCTATTGACATATGTGGGACTTCAAAAAGAGATTATTTGACACAATGAAAATTGCAGTTAGTGCCAGATCATGAGCAATTCATTGACTAATTCCTAAGAAGTAGACAGAAACAAAACTCATTTAGCAATTGTAGTTACTTCTTTGAATAAATAAATAGGACACACATTTATTGTCACCTATCTACTTTTTTGTCCAGATTTATTTTTAAATTGTGAGTATGTGTGTGAGTGTGGGTGTCCATGTAAATACAGGTGCCCTGGGGGGCCACAGTCCTTAAAGTCTCTGGAAATGAATACAGAATATCCACTTAACCACTGAGCCAGCTCCAGAAAACATGCCTGTGTCACTTTAAAGATTTATTTTTATATCTACTCTCATATTAATAGTCTGTAGTTTGCAGGAAAAAAAAGAAAGGAAAAACATTACACAGAACATAGAATAATTACTTCATGTTTCTATCTCATAACCCGAAAAATCAGTAGGATATGGAAAACCAGAACAATACTACCAAGAGTTCCCTAAATGACACTTATTGAATTCTCTATAAAAGACAGAGTAGAGATTCTTCTCAATGCCTCTGAAATATTTACCAGGGTAGTTCATAAACTAGACCACAAAGTGAATTACAACATATTTAGAGGAATTAAAATTTTATAAACTGTTTGTACATAAATTAGATTTCTGAAAAATTTAAAATACATTTTATAATGATCCACAGCTAAACAAGTTACTAAAAAAAAAAAAAAAACCCATGGAATTAGAAGTTGAAACTAAAAACAAATGTTAATACTTAAGTCTAAGGATTAGCTAGAGCAGTGCTTAGAAGAAAGTGTATGAAGAACAAAGCTTAAAAGAGAAGGTCTCAAGTCAGAGACATGAACTATAATAGGACGAAAATAATTACACAGAAATATTAATGAATAAAATTCACTGAAGTCTGAACAGCTTCCCTACGAACACTCAATTGTTTTACAGAAATATAATATATACTGTCAATGGGCCCAAAACAGCCAAAACGGGTCCTGAAAACAATCAAAGATGGCAGATTCATACTTCTTGATTTCAAAATAGCACTACAATTATTAAAACAATGTGGTACTGGAATGAAGATATGCATAAAAACCAATGGCATACAATAAAAAGACAAGGGCTAAACCCATGAATGTAAAGTGTAATTTTGTTAATTGTTCCAAGATTATGAAATGGGAAAAGAATAAATAATCTTTTTAGTAAGAGATGTTAGAAATTCAGGACATTTGTGTGTAAAAGCAAAGTTGTATTTTTAAACCATACACAAATTAAAATGGGTCAAAGACATAAATGTTAGACTTACTGCAAAACTCATGGAAGAAAATACAGGAGAAAAGTCTCACAACAATGAATTTGGCAGTGATTTCTCAAATATTCTAAAGGCATATACAACAAAAGCAAAAATTAAACAAACTGAACTTTATAACAATAATTTAAAAATGTACCAAACGCTATCAACACTATAAAAAGGGAACCCGAAGGTGGAATACAAACTACGCGCTTGGTTAATACCCAGAATATAAAGATAACTCTCATTTCAATCAAAAACAGAGGGAAAAAAAAATGAGAATTCTGTTTTTTTTTTGTGTGTGTGTGTGTGTGTGTGTTAACTTATAATTCAACAAAGATAGCTAGATTGTTAACACACACACATAAAGATGTTTCGTATCACGGCACTGTAGAGAAAGTAAATAAAAACTATACTGAATTATCCCCTTAAACCCATTTTTAGACTTTATCTATATATTTTACAACAAAACAAAAACAGAGGGTAGAAAGACGTGAAGGCACGCAGGCAGGCAAAAACAGAAGTTAGTGAATGAAAGCAGGGGGATATGGAAAGAAAAGGAAAGGTGGGAATAAAGAAAAAGGCAGAGAGGGATGGAGTCAGCTGGGCAGGTAGGCAGGTAGATCCAAACTAAGAGGCTAAGGATGTTGACATGAATGTGGAGAAATCAGAACACTCAGGCACTATACCCATTATACAAGGGATCTTAAATGGTATAGATAACATGATAAATGTGATGACAGTTCCAAAAATGTAACCACAGATTATCATATGATAGGGCAATTTCACTTCTGAGAACTAAAACAAATTAAATAAACATATTTGCAGATAGATAGATAGATAGATAGATAGATAGATAGATAGACAGACAGACAGACAGACAGACAGACAGACAGACAGACATATTGTTCCCAACAGTCAAAGGGGGCCTTTATATATAAAGAGGGAAGAAAAAGCACAATGTGTGAAATAAAGGCTCCAATGCTGGGACCACTATTATTTAGTCCTTACTGTGGAAGCTACACAATGAAAGGAATGAAAAAAGGGAAAGAAAATTATGGCAACTCTCTTTAAACATTATTTTTAAAAGGTTTCTATTTTTTCCTTTATATGATTGTGTGTATGTGTGTATACATGTGTATGCAGATGCCTGTGAAGGCTTCAAGAAGGAATCTTATCCTCTGGAGTTGGAGATACAAGTAGAGAGAGACTTGCCTGGCTAACTTACAAACCTACATAAGTGGGGACTCCAGACAAGGTCTCCGATTTTCCAACTAAGAAGTATCACAGACATACAGATATTTGTTTAATTTTAATACAAAAACTACTTAGAAGGCAAACTGGATGTAAAATATATTCTTTGTTAGTTACACAGACATACAAAAATGCAGCATAAAATGGAAAAATTCAGAAACTGGAGTACAGTATTTTCTAACATCCTGCTTCATAAATAATTATGTTAAAAAAATAAATATTCACCATCATTTTTTTCAATACAGCCACTGCTGAATCAGTTAACAGTTTCCATAGTAATTAATTTTTATTTCCATCTAAAATTTTTTGGGACACGCTCCCCTTTAAATCTGTATAAAGCTGGGTTTATTGGCATTTATTATCATAGGTCACACAAAAAAAAATTCAAAAGGCATTAGTATACTTGATTTAAAAGTAAGTTAGCCTGTCTGTCCACAACACCTCTACTAAAACAGGAAAGGAAGAATAGTAGAAAATAACAAATAGTAAAGAAAGACAAAGAAGAAAAGCAGAAAAGGCCAATTGAGATAGCAAAAGAGATATAAACAAAAATATTATACTACCATGAGGCTTTAGAATATATTGGATATTTCAAATAATTTCAAATGTAGAAATTTCTACATGCTTCAGGAAATAAAGTTTACTAAATGGTATATCTAAAACACTTGGTTAAAAGATAATATAGGGTGGACACTGGTAAACAGCACTTGCTATAAAATTGTGAGGAATGGAATTTTGACCCAAGTACCCATGGTAGTGTGCCACTACTGCCTGTAACTCCAACTCAGGGACCTGACACCCTCTTCTGGCTTCTGTTTACATGTGCATATAGACAGACACACAAACACACAGACACACACGAGGCAGGGGGAGGACATACACACATAAGGAAAATAAGAATCTTTAGGAAGTTGCTAGCAATTCAGAGGGCACCGTGTGACACAAATAGAAAAACATTGTTATGAAAAAGCAGTGCACTCATTTTTCCTCCACTCAGGAAAAACTGATGTCTAACTCAAATTATTTTTGATTCACAAAGGACTAGCATGAGTTTCAATAAATAACTTACATAGCTGTGCCTAAAAGAAGTTCTGGGGAGTGGGAACTCCTGAGGGAAAATTATAGTACCTTTTGCATCATCAGAACCTGAAGCCAAAAGTTTAGGATCCATCAAATTAAAGTCAACACTCCAACACCTCTTTTCATGCTCCTTGATATAGAAGAAAGAAAAAATAATAATTTATTGATACGGGTTGGTGGCACAAAATGCAATCAAATGTAAAACAAAGACCCTGGTAGAAATCCTCACACTAAAATTAATGCTTTGGTAAATGTATTTGATATATTCTAAAAATAAAGTATGAGAAATTTCTTAGAAAAGCATTTGGTACTACCACAGTTGTTATAACTATAAAAATACTAAACAGTGACTGAAATTTTTTAATTATAAAGCACATGAATATTATAAATTACTGCAAAACAAAAAATTGTTTTAACATGTAGTCAGTTTCCATACTTACCTGATAGACTTTTGACCTCTGTCCTGTGAATCCATCCCATAGTATAACAGTGCCTTCATAGTCACTGCTGGCTAGCAGATTCTTATGGTAACTACTCCAACTGATACAGCTGAATGAAAGAAAAGCTAAAGCTTTAGGATGTAAATAAGTAACAATGGAGCATAATGAATTTCAGTGTGTTCAGGAAGATGAACACTCCTCAAAATGGTTTATATCACTTCACAATCATTCAGAAAGAGATGATAGTACTACCTACATTTCCTGAGTGAACTATCCAATGCTAAAGTTTACACTTTTTACTCTGATCACAGTATGATAGATACGAACCAGAAGCTGCTACTGATCATCTCTACTACATGTGAAAAACATAACTACTAATCACAATGACAAATGCCCAGGTGACTCAGAGAATGTTACAGCACAATAACAGATATGAAAGATTGTTGAGCTCTATATTAAGCTTTGCCAAATCATTATTAAGCTAAATAAATGAATATGAATTACATTTCTGTTTATATTCAAAAGGTCTTAACCAACATAAGTTATGATTAAAATTCCAATTAAAATACCCCAAAAAATTCAAAGTTTGAACATTTATGACTTTAGCTATTCTCTAAAAGTCTGCATCTAAGGCAGTAAGCTACTGTTGAGACACATACATGTTTAAATTTGGCAAAACAAAATGTATATTCCTGAACAAGGTATTAAGAAAAGCAAGTAATGTATTTTGCTCTCTGTTGTACTTATGACAAATTTTAGGGATTGGGAAGAGACCATTTGCATTTTAAAATATACTCAATTTTCCATTGATGGATTTAGACAGACCTGCACTCTAATTCCAGACTGGTTAACTTAGTGTATTTCATAACTGGCGAAATCAAACTGGACAACTCTGTTAGCTTTGCTTAGGTACAGGTCCTTTTAGCCCCACAAATTTTGGCCATTTACTCCAATGTAATGTGCCATAAAGTACTAAGCATTTGCCTATGTGCCATGGCAGAGCAGGCGGCAGCACACTTAAACTCTAATTATGTTTTCCTCAAGGGAACAATGAGGATGAATACTTGTCATGAGCCAAGTATTCTGCTGAGTTTACTACTATGATGTTTTAAAATACAATTTTATACAAGTGATATTACTATAATGGCCACATGCTATAAATAAGTATAAAGGGGTTACAAGTACAAACTCTAGAATTAATACTACCTCAATTTGCTACACGTTACCTAGCTCAAGCCAGGCAAGCTATTAACTTTCAGTTTTAGCACTCCTCAGCTGTAAATGCGGCAATAATGGTAACCATCTCAGACAACTGTTAAAGCACGCAAGACAATGATGAGCATTTAATAAATTTATTTTTGCAATACATTCTCTGCTTAGAGACAGACTGATGTGGGATCCCCCTCTGTATGCTGTGAATAAAGAAGCTGTTTTGGCCTAGGGCAGGGCAGAATAGAACTAGGCAAGAAAACTAAACTGAATGCAAGAAGAAAGAAGGTGGAGTCAGGGACTTAACATGTAGCTGCCAAAGGAGGTAGATACCATGTAGCTGCCCAAGAAGCAAGAGGTAACATACCACAAGCCTCGCAGTAAAATATAAAATAATAGAAATGGGTTATTTAAGATATAACAGTTACTTAATAAGAAACCTGAGCTAACAGGCCAAACAGTGTTGTACATAATATAGTTTTTGTGTGATTATTCAGATCTGGACAGCCAGCAAGTAAAAGGCAGTCTCCATTACAGACTGAAATAGATTCTCAAGTATGAGTGCCACTGATAAATAGACGGCTAGTAAACTGTTGTGGGTGAATTAGGAAACAAAACGAACATAATACTAGTTTATTACTAATATCATTAAAATGCACATAAAAACATATACACCTTGGATTCAACATCTTTAATCCAAAATGTCCTAGAATCCAAAACATCTAGAGCACCAAGTCTGTTGGCTAAATATACACAAACTCTGTTTCGTAGCAATGGATGTGAAGATACACATTCATGGTAAGTGAAGTCTGTGATTAGGTTCACATCTTATCTCCAAGATGTTTTGAAACGCACATGGATGAAAAGCTTAATCAAAAACACTGTGGTACCAAACATTTCAGATAAAGGATACTTAAAACTGTACTATGTATTTATCAAGATAAGAAGGGTACATGAACAACGGATTTCTTTTAGAGCTTACACTAATCAGGTGCCCTTGAGAACAGCTAGGGAAATCTATTTCTTCTATGAGGTAGAAAAAAGAGGGAGAAAAAAAAAAAAAAAGAAATAAGGAAAAGGCTGATTGTGGAATTCCTGACATTCCTGGGAAACACGTTAGCTCTGCACTGCTATGAACTATAATCCTTATTGAATTAAATTTAAATAGTGTTCTTTCAAAGAAAAGCCTAATATTTGTGTGAAAAACATCTTAAAATTAGAAATAACTATAATATTTAGAGATACGAACATATTATGGATTATTTCTGATGTTCAGATACTATTTATAGGCAAAAGTAAATGATAACTTCCACAAAAAGCAAACAATGTCTACAGGAAAGATACTGCTTTAAAACAAAGCATCTCAACATATAGAATCACAGTATCCAGTCTCATGGAAAAGGGAAAATAATGTCATACTTGATGCGAATATGGACAGCAGCTACATATATGCTACTTTGGGGCAACAAAAAATGAATACCTGATTTTGGAATTGCAGGTCATTTCATTCTCGGGGTAATGAATATCCACTGCATCCTGGATGACCGTGCCATACTCATAGACTTTAATCTTCTTTGTAACCCCAGCAATTGCAAAATAGTCACAATCCCGATCAAATTCGATACTAACGGGGAGGGACAAACACATCTTGTTTATGAGATCATGAAGCAAACCTTATGATGTTATACATAGCAACATTTCAGGGTTTTAAGTTTTTCATTCTTTCTTTTTTTTTTTTTTTTTGGTTTTTTGAGACAGGGTTTCTCTGTGGTTTTGGAGCCTGTCCTGGAACTAGCTCTTGTAGACCAGGCTGGTCTCGAACTCACAGAGATCCGCCTGCCTCTGCCTCCCAAGTGCTGGGATTAAAGGCGTGCGCCACCACCGCCCGGCTCATTCTTTTTATTCTTCCAGTGCTGGGGCTTGAACGCAGGGCATAAATGTATACTAGGCAAGCACAATGCCAATGAGCTACATCCTCACTGGCACTTTCTATTTCTAAGAGTTGCCTCTACAGATAAGAAAGCTTCTTGACATAGTTTCAAGTTTCCCTATGCCACATGTCCAGAATAAGTCATCAAGACATCAAATTACAAGAATTAGGAAACTATATAGATATATACCTGTCAAGGTGAACTTTTGTTCCTAGACAGCTGACATGTTTTTAAGTTTACCTGTAATAACCACATTACATCTCAGTATAGAAACCTTTAATAATTTGAAATATTACACGTGTCAAATGAAAATTACCAATTAGTTTTTTTCATAAATTCTTGTTATTGCTCTTTCAGGGAATGTGACATTATTTTAATAAATCTGAACAAACAGAATTACTGAAGCAAATGGGTAGTGACAAAGGGACAGAATATTAATAAAAACAGAGTAACTAAATAATCCTTACTCCCACCCAGACCGTTCCTTATTCCCAAAACAAATATTATCTCTCTGAATTACAAAATGTTAATGCACATCCCTTATTGCACAAATAGGGAACTCTCTCTAAAAAAGCAAAACAAAAACAAACAAACAAAAAAAACTCCTCTGTTCCTTTTTAGAGGACTTAGGGAATCCACCCCTTTCTTGTAATTACTCTAAATACAAATTCCAAAGTAAGCTATTTCAATACAATATCTTATTCACTCCTATCATACAAGCTAGAAATCTAACTCGCCCTGATGCGGGTAAAAATTGAAATGAACCATCATATTCAATACTTTTCAATATAAATTTAGTTTCCTTCTAGAGGTTTAGCTGTAACTCTAGAGAATACAAAAGAGTTCCCAATGATCTATAATTACTAATTCTCTTAACAACCACATGAGGAAAACATTACTATTATTAACAGTTTAGATTAGTTAGAGTGAAGTAATCTGCTCAAAGTTGGCTGGTTTTCAAGTGTTTGAGATGATAGTTATCAGGTAATCTGGCTTCACAGTCGAGGCTACTAATATTTAGGTTAAATCAAAAATCAAACCTCCTATGTGCAAGTCAAACTATAAAGTATAAAGGTTAAAAACTCGAACTCTAATAAAATTTGTTATATATTTCTGTACCTACATATATCTTCCCACCAATAAATATCAAGGTACTCATTAAATGCATATAAATACAACTGCATTATATATGTGTATAAATACAAATACTTATATGTGAGGTATTTAGGAGTGCTAGCCAGATGATATACTTTAATGGATTACTTGTGCAATACTCATGCAGAATTAACTAAGTTACTACTTAGTTAATAATTCAATAGGAAGCTTACTTAGCTGATGACTAAGAGAAATATACATTATAATTTTCTTAAAGACACATTAAAATACTTTCTAAATTAGTCTCAAATCATTTCTTAATTTCCAAGTCTTACAAAAAAATTTCAGGTAAGTGCCAGCAACTACAGAACAACTCAGCTAATAACTCTGCCAAAAAACACAATCCAGTAAGACAGACTTACTGGTATTATAATATTAATGTACATCTGCCTCAGCTACCACCTGTGTTATGAATTCTAACACCAGAATTATATTGATGACAACTTTTCTATCCCAGCGCATATGCACAGACACACAGATACACAGACACAAATGATATTTATGCTGGTTATGTCACCTTAGCCTAAACTATAGTTATTTAGAAATGGCCAATCTCAAATGAGAGAATGGCCCCATTATATTGGTCTGTAGACAAGCATGAAGTACATTTTCTTAATTAGTGATAGATGTGGTAGGCCTCAACCCATTGTGGATAGTTCCACCCTGGGCTGTTGGTTCTAGGTGCACTAAGAATGCAAGCTGAGGAGGTCACAAGCTAATAACCATTTGTTCATGGCCTCTGCATCAGCTCCTATGTCCAGGTTCCTGCCCTGTTTAAAAGGTCCTGCTTTGACTTCCCTTAGTGATAGACTGTGCTGTAGTACTATATATGGAAATAAACCCTTTCCTCCCCAAGTTGCTTTTGGTCACATGATTTTATCATAGCAACAGAAATTATGACTAAGACAGACTGGTAAATGACAGATACTGGAACTGAAATCTACTCTTAACTGAGTTGGTTTAGAATGCCTAGTTCAAGAACCAGTCATATAATTCCTAAATATATTCCCTCCATCTATACTACTAAAAAAATGAAAAGTACTCTAACATACAAGTGAAAGTGTGTAAGAATAGGCAAACTTCTAGTTTTTAATTCAAACAAGTTTAAGTGTTAACCTGTTATCAACTGACCAAAATCCCCACACAATGGCCTGCGGACACAGCCTTTGCTGAAGCTTGGTCTTGGATATCCTCTTCCTCTAGCAGGATGTGTCATTACTAACTTTAATTTGACTGTGGAAAAAAAGTCAATTTTTTTTTTTGGTTTTGGACTCATTGCTATTTTCTTCCATTTGGTTATTTAATAAATATTTTGGGGAGTAAGACATGATGATTCATTTCTATAATCCTAGTGCTCAGAGGCTGAGGAGTCTAAATCTGAGAATGCCCTAGGAGACAATCAGACTTTCACAAAAAACAAACCCAAACCCAAATCCAATATAACTGAGCCCAAAACCTATTACACTAGGAACATCAAAGCCTTAGCATTATACTAAAAAGTAAAAAAGAAAATGAAAAGGAAAGATCTGAAAACTGCACCATGTCTGTGAACACTAACTTTTAGGTGCTAAGGGATTTCTAGAACCCATCTAAAATGAATATCCTCTTATTCCATTAAATGGCACTTCAGTTATTTTGATTATGATGTCAGATAACACAAAAGCAGTACAAAAGTTTAGCAATGTCAAATTGGGATGAAATAAAATAAAAGGTATGGAAACTAATCAAAATGTACCTGTTTGTTTAATTACCCCAAAGAATAAGAAGGCTTACTATTTACTGTTAAATAAAGCTTCATTTCTGCCTTCTACTAATATACAATTATTAAAACTACTGATAAAAATTTATTACAATGAAAAATTCAATTTCATCAACCAAGAATGTCCTAGTAAGATACGCCGCCACCACCACCACTACCACCACCACACAGGCACTTAGGTCATCTGAGAACCCTCTGTTCCAGGAACTAGTCATATGACTTCTTACACCTGATTCCCCTGATAAGGCCCAACCTACACTGGCTATGAGGCCAGACCACACAGCCTAGGGATCTCCAGTACCTGTCTTCCTCTGTGAAGGTAGGCCCTACAGAGGCCCTAACACTTCCTAGGAACCTCAGGTACCAGGTGACCAGTCTGCCCACAAGATTCCTTGCACCCATCTTCCCCAGTTAAGGCCTGTATATATACCCCCAAATAGACAGAATCAGAAAAGAAACTCCCCCAAACCCAATACAGTTAAGACATTAAAAACATAAAATAGTGAAAAAATGAAAGGTTCCAAGAGAGAAAGGTCAAGTTATTTACAAAGTCAAGTTCATTAGAATAACATTCAAGCTGAAAAATTTAAAACCAGTGGACATGGAAAGATGTGTTCTAGGTTCTGAAAGCTAACTAGTGTCAACCTAGAATATTACACCCAGCAAAACCATCTGCAAAATTTAAGGAAAACCTGAAACTTTGCACGACAAAAACAGACTAAAGAACTTAAAAGCACTACTTCAATTCTATCAGATGATACTTGAAGGGAAGACTGCAATCTGGAGACAGAGATCACAGAGAATAAGCCACTCAGGAACAGTTCAAATGAAAGGGGGTGAGAAAAAGACAGAAAACGAAATGACAAAAATTAAAACACATCCTTCAGTAAGTCTTGAGTAAATGGGAATGGAGAAAGCAAACCAGCACTGACAAAGATGCTTCACCCCTATGGCTAGCAATCACAGTAATGTAAGGTTCTATGCTTAACAGGGAACAAGCAAATCAACAATCTTACCCAGCTTTGAACTTTGCAGCTACAATGAGGATTGACCTGACAAGGGTTATCTTCATTGGAACAATAGTGGTATGCATGTTATGAGTAGCCAATGATTTTCTCAATAGATTTAAAGTACCAAAACCTGTGACTGACTAGGTCACAGACATTGAGGGGGAAAACCCAATACTAAGTCCTTATCTTTATATCCATAGATTAGTGTATCTCTCAACACTCATCAAAGTTTGTTTGGCTACCCTATCCCAGTAGATGGCAATAAATACAAGTGAACAAACTGAGGAGCATAAGACACCGTGAAGTGTTCAGCTCTAAATGGGACAGGGTTCAGGAAACACCACGGAAGAGGGGGCAGAAACACTGTAGGAGCCAGCGGGTATCTAGAGCAAAACAGTTTTGCCAGACACAACAGTGCACTGCGCACACGCACACACACAGAGCAGTGGTAAGTGAATCATAGCTACACAAGATCAAGACAACTTCTGCGGAGAATTTCTTTTCAGGGATCTAACCTCTGAGAGACTACCTAGGCTTCAGGGAATAGCTCTACAACCATGCACATGAATGTAGCATGTAGGCCTAGTGGATTCAGTGGACTTATTTTATAAAATTAAAAAAACAAAGCACAGAGTTCAGGAGGGAATGAAATAGGGTGGAATTTCAAGGGGAGGGGATGAAAGGTAGACCTGATAAAAACAAATTATATGTATGAATGAAACTGCCATTAATAAAGAATTCAATCTCACCAAATTTATTTCCAAACATA